CACAGAATTCAGAATTCTTAAAAGTACGTAAGGAAGATCTTGCCTTCAACGAACTGAAAAAAAATGACTGCATAAAAATAAAAAGACCATTATGCGACCTACTATAAAATACTTTTTCTCCTCTTTCCGTTTCCAGAGAGAGGAGAGAGAGAGCTGTGCTTAGTATGTGTCTGGCCGAGACTCCTTGCCAAGTAGCTTTCTGCCTGGCATCTTACAGTAGTCATGAAGGCTTATAGTTCTTAGATAATGTGACTGTCGGTGTTTAGCTCCCAAAGTTATATGGCTCTTTTCCTTTATAGTTGGAGAATATTGGCAACTTTATTAAGGCTATTCAAGCTTATGGCATGAAGCCACACGACATCTTTGAAGCAAATGATCTTTTTGAGAATGGAAACATGACCCAAGTTCAGACTACGCTGGTGGCTCTGGCAGGTCTGGTACGTATGTGTCTTTAATGGCTGATTTTAAAAGTCCCACCATGCTGGTGATGAATTACATCTTTTCTTTCCCATGGGAGTTACGGCTAGGCAGGAAGCAGCCTCTGTCTCCTCCGTAATTATTAGCTTTGTGGGAAGGCTGCTGACATCAGCTGCCTCATATAAGAGTTTAATCAGAATACTTCCATTTCAGAGCCACAGGTATTACTGAGTGGCCTTAAATATGTTTTTCACCCCTGGTTTGAGTATTCCCTAGTGAAGCCTTCATCTACGGACAGTATCGTTTCTTTGTGGTTCCTTCTGTGTCCATTTTCGTGTTCCTTTTTAGTTAGTGTGCAAATTTCTGTCTAGGCTAAAACAAAAGGATTCCATACAACCATTGACATTGGAGTTAAGTATGCAGAAAAACAAACAAGACGTTTTGATGAAGGAAAATTAAAAGCTGGCCAAAGTGTAATTGGTTTGCAGGTAAGTCGTGTGTTACTGCTTGCTTCAGTACCATCAGTTCCCACCATGTAAAGTGTGTGTCCCCTAAGTAAGGCATGGATGAGATATACCATAATGTAGGTTTGGGGGATGGATATGTGGTTTATATAATTTGTGTCCATTTATGTCCATGAGACGTTGCTGATGGTTTTAGAAGAAACCTCAGGCATGCCCTCAGACTTGACAATTGTTTCTCTAGGAAATGACTTTCAACCCCTAATTACATTGTCTTTATTTTGTTTAAGAAAACGTATTTTATAAATTTCTGAATGTTATGACCGAATGAGGCAATTTTATAAAACCTCAATGCCAAAGTCATTTATTTGCACAACACAGCAGCCAAGCACTATGGGAAATACTTAGTTCAGTTATTTTTTCCCCCCTTCACATCGTTCCCCTGGAGAAGGTCACAAAAGCACCACTGAGAAGTGTGCCCTCTTGGCCACTGCATCATGTGAGGCAGATTTATTTTTGTACAGTACACAATCATACCTGGTAAGAAACTGGAAACCTGAAATTCCAAACAGTAGTCAGTTGGTTAAATTATAACCTCACAGAAGGAACCAGAGTAAGGTAGAAATGATACACATGAATTCAAAGATTGAGGAAAACAAATCAGGTTCTAAAATACAATGGTCAGTGTGATCACGATTTTATTTTAAAGATGCACATGCTTATTTTTGTATATGTATTTTTAGGCATGTGTATTGATACATATATAAACAGGTAGAGAAGATAAAAAACCTAGAAGGATACACACAAACACTTACAGCTAATATCTGGGTGGGAGGATTGCATTGATTTTTTTTTTTCCTCCCTCCCTTTTTAAGTTAAAAGACCCACAGAAATGTGTCCCCAGATAGAACTGGTTTTACCAGTTGGCCTTAAAGCCATGCTATCAGTGGAGAAGAGAATTCTTGTTCCTCTGAACTTGTTTGAGTTCATATCCCTTGTTCTTTCTCTGTCCAGTGACATGAGAGTTGGAGGAATAAAATGTGGTCCTTTTCCCATGAAGATGCTGGTGATTTTAATGAAACTTTGAAAAAGCCTTTTTTTTTTTTTTTTGGCTGTGGAGAAGACATTTGGCATTCACTGTCACATTTGATACAAACCTCTGGAGTAGAAACGCACACTGCCTAGTCAGAGCACACTGCCTAGTCAGAGAGTACCTCTGTTCCTTTAAGTGGCGGAAGCGGTAGCTCTTAATTTGGTTTTCTGTGTGATATAGACAGTAGGGGGAAGAGGAGCAGGGGAACTTTTTCCTTTTAAAGTGAGCACCTTGAAAGTTGTGAAAGCATGGAGATTTTGCATCTAGCTAGCTTCAGCACAAAAAAGGGACTTGTCGATTGTACCCCTCCATCTTTTTCAGAGAACACAAAAGTTTTGCTTGTCATATATGGTGGTGACTTCTGATAATCATTGCTGTTTTTAATTTTTAACTTCAAAGATGGGCACCAACAAGTGCGCCAGCCAGGCAGGCATGACGGCCTATGGGACCAGGAGGCATCTTTATGATCCCAAAATGCAAACCGACAAACCTTTTGACCAGACCACAATTAGTCTGCAGATGGGCACCAACAAAGGAGCCAGCCAGGTAAGCAGTGCCTTTTTATATTTGGAGCAAAGAGTAGAGAAGGATTATTTAAATTAGCACTTATTCTTTTTTAATATTTAATTTTTAGAGAGAGGGGGACAGAGGGCTATGCTAACAGCAGGGAGCCCGATGTGGGGCTCACACTCACGAACAGTGAGATCATGACCTGAGCCGAAGTTGGATGCTTAACTGACTGAGCCACCCAGGCGCCCCGCACTTACCAAGTATGTTTTGTTGAGAAAGCAAAGGAATCAGAGGACCTTTCCTATAGGAACACAAGTATGCTGTGGCTCTTGGCTTTTGTTGGTAGTCAGAAAGCTGGCCTTTCTATCTAACCAGACAAAAAAATACGTTTTATTGTAGCAAGTTTACTTCTTGCCCCAAATCCAAGCAAATTGCTCCTTCTAATGGCTCTGAAACTTGGTAGGTAAGAGTATCTGGTGTTCTAAGGAGGAGTTAGCCAGCACTGCCATTGAATGTGTGACTAGAAGTAGGTGGAGCTATAGCGCAGGGACAGCACCGGCCTTCTACTGCCACGCACGCTGGACGTGGTTCCTTGTTGCAAACGCATCAGCACCTCAAAGGGAGACTCCTGTAACCACGGGATAGGCTTTGAACAGGCTTTTTCCTTGGGACCTAAAGTCGAAACGTATTATTTGCCCTTTCTGGAACATGTCCTGCCACATGTGGCATCATCTCTCAAAGGTGCCATTCAAGTTTGCTGTTTTACCAGTTAAATCTGGAAATGTCTGCTTGGCATAAATGGAGAAATGAGGTAGGAGTTACTGTGCTTGTGGCTGGCTCCTTGAGACTTAGGTCCCTCGGGACTGCTGTGCATAAGTTCTGTTGGCAGTGTGATGAGCTTTGGAACTGAAGGCCTGGAGAGTGTGTGGCCATCATAGGTACTCACATGCAACTCTGAAGGGGGCCCACGCCACGCGGTGCTTTTACATTCTTTATGTTGAACCTTCTCCTAAATCCAGAGTAGGTGGCATGTTCTCCATTCTGCATATGAGAAACCTAAAACTAAAAATGTTAGCTTGTTTTGAGGCCACATAGCGGCTTTAAAGCAGAGCGAGGATTCGAAGGAAGGGCTGACCTAGCTTGAAAGCCAGCGAATATTGGTTCTTAAGAAAGATTCGGTGACAGGAATATTTGGTAAGCTAGCTTTACCCCTGAAATGAAGTTATTACGTTAGTGTTCACATTCACTATGAATTTCATAATGTATAAAATGTTCACCAGAATCGATTTTAGCTGCTGTTTTAACATTTATACTGTGTTCTAATACCAGGCGGGGATGTTAGCACCAGGTACCAGAAGAGACATCTACGATCAGAAGCTAACATTACAACCAGTGGACAACTCGACGATTTCTCTACAGATGGGAACCAACAAAGTTGCTTCCCAGAAAGGAATGAGTGCGTATGGGCTTGGGCGGCAAGTGTATCATCCGAAATACCGTGCTGCTCCCACAGAACCTGTCATTCACAATGGAAGCCAAGGAACAGGAACAAATGGGTCTGAAATTAGTGATAGTGATTATCAGGCAGAATACCCAGATGAATATCATGGAGAGTACCAGGATGACAACCCCAGAGATTACCAGTATGGCGACCAAGGCATTGATTATTAGATTTACACAGAGGAGCTCAGTATTTAGCCCATTGTTTTTATTCAGTGAGAACCAAGCTAGCCTTGAGTAAATTTTATCTTGTCTTCCTAAAACACTATTATGCTTATTGTACCTAAAAGAAATATTGCCTTACATACATTCCCTTTTCCTTTTTCTGCCTCTTCCCTAAATAGTTGCCTTTTAGTGCTATAACAGTTAAATCCTACAGCAGAAGCAATAACTCGCATATGAAGTAAAAAGGAATACTGTGAAAGGGGAGTACTCTTGTACAGCCAGTTCTCTTATTAAAGACCTATGCATTTTTACAATCTACTTAATAGACTGGGATTTTCAAACAATAGGAAGCTTTTTTTTTTTTTTTACAGTTTAGTTATCTGGTTTCTACATGGAAGACTAAAGTCATGCTTAGAGCTAAATGTGGTCTTTGCCAACTAAATTTAAGATGCAGCATTTTAGAAATTTACATATCAATGTCTCTACAGTATTGTTTGCTAACTCTTAAATAAAGTCCTGATCCGTGTGCATTTGTGATTATATGTGTACTCATTCTCTTACCTAAACCAACAAGATCTTTACAGAGTGGTGTTTCTAAAGGAGCGTGTACAAAATGGGCCTGCAGACATTCAGGTCTGGGTGGTGTGTCTGCTCTTCCTGTTTGTGCCAATGTATCAATGTAGAGTTGCTCTGTTTCCTTCAACTGTATTTATTGCTGCATTTCTCAGCATAAACTTATCCCATTGTATTTTTTATAAATAAATATTTTTTTTGAACATTCTTATGAGCCACAGGCTGATTATTTTCTGGCTAACTTCCAGATAGGTGAAGGCAGATTTTGTTGAAAAAGTCCTCTTTCCCAGGTGCTGTTAGAAGATACTTTATCATTACTTAATCCACACGACAGTGCACTCTTTGCTAGAGACTGAGGCTTGGCAAACTGAAGGGACCTGCCCATCTTACCCAGAAAATGACAGCCAGGATTCAAACGCGTGTTTGACCCTCGCTATTTCATGGAGACTCACATGCCTCAAAAGCACCTTAAATCCAACTTGGAATCATCTTAAAATCATCTTCAGGAACATTGGGGGGGACGGGGTAGGATTATTTTCTACTCATACCCTCAGGTGAATATACATCAATACGGAACAACTGAATCCGGAATAGGTTATACTTCTGCGGCTCTGATATAATGACCAAACAAGAAGGACAAAGACGACGAAGAAGAATAAGGTCGATCAGCCTTACCGTTTATTCTGTGAATGGCTCTTAGAAGAAGGACACTTTCCAGGGGCACCTATCTAACAGGCACCTATCACACAATGGGCTGGAGTTCTGTTCCCTCCTCGTTCCTTAATGAGTTCGCCTCCCTCTGTGCCCTCGGGCTTTGTAACTTGTTGATCCTTTTTACAAAACTCTGAAAAACAAAACAATGAGTTAGACCAGTGTTATGTATCCACACCAACCACAACCATTTATTTGACCGTATCATTTAGGGGACTTTAATCCTTAAAGTTTTCCCTGTTGAATTAGTTTTTTTAGGGGGTAGATTTGTAATCAGAAAAGTATAAATCAGGGAATAAAGCCTCGGTGAGCTTCCTACCACCATCAGAAAGACTTTCTTTAGGGTAGATACAAATCAAGTGCTATTGTATTTTTAGGTTTTCTATGGAGGAAGCGGAGAATATGTTTAATTTTAAAACCACAGAAGTGCTTGTTAAACTTCACTGCCTGGCTGAACCAAGGAGTGCTCTGAATGCTGTTTGAAAGCAAAAGGGCTTGGGGCGCCTGGCTATCTCAGTCATTGGAGCATGAGACTCTTGATCTCCGGGTTGTGGGTTTGAGCCCCATGTTGGGTATAGAGATTACTTAAAAATAAAATCTTAAAAAGAGCAAATGGGCTTTAACACTTAAGTTTTATGGCAACAGAATGAAAGAAAAGTACTAAAACGTCACTTGACCCAGACAACCCAGAGACTTCATTCAGTTGTTAAAATACCTCTGTCTGTCCCTGATAAGACAGATAAGCAACGACTGTGTTGGAAACAGCTGCCTGCTATTTCCAGATAGAAGCCGAATGGGACTTGACAGGGTGTGGCTTTTCCTGCATCGCTGGGCCTCAGTTAATAAAGGGCCTGAGAACACCAGATCTGTCAACACGGGCACAGACATGGGTGCCCCCTGAAACACAAAGGGTCTGTTTGACGCTTGAGGAGGCAAAGATGCTTTAGAGAGAGATCAACCGTTAAACCTCCAGACCACCCAAAAGGCCAGACCAGGCTGATAGCACCAAAGGGACTTGGACTGCTCTGTCCAGAACACCTGCACAAGGTCATCTGGTCCGTATTAACTGTTCAGTGTCACTTCTCTCCAGAGAGAAGGTTCCAGTAAGGGAAGTGGGTTCAGCCTCAGAAAACAACCCAAATCTCACTCTGGACATTCAGGCCAGTGGTAGAAGCCCACGGGGCCCTCTGGAAGAGTAAATGAGGCTTGGTACGAGCCTCCTTTATGCGTGAGTCTTCAACACTTTTGAGATTTGGGGGATCGAGGTTGCAGCGGGAAGTGAAATGTCTGCTTACCAAAAACTCTTGGTCCATAAAGTAGGGCTTTTCCGACGATCCATCATTTGTTTCCAGATCAGCAGCAAAACACAGGAAGAGTGCATCCAGCACAGTTTCAAACACAGATAAGAAACTATGGGCTACTAAGTAGGCAAAAAAAGCAACCAGCAGCAGAGGGACTGTCCACACCTGGAATGCACGGCTGTAGTTAAATGCCATCAGTCCTCCAAATACAGTGAGACACACCACCAACACCTGGCAAAACAGGACTTTGCTGAAAATCTTTATAAATTGGTTGGTCAGAATATTTTAGAAGTGACTTTTGTCAATTACAGGTGGTAGTTTCATATACATGCCTATGTGTGCGTCTATGTGTACCTAGTGTAAAGAATGCTGGTCAGAAAATGTGGTCCACTGAAATGAAGATGAAAAGAGAGCTATGATACCAAAAGACAATCCAATTAGTTTGGAGTAAGGAGAAGAGAATAGATGTATTTACATTTTATCTGTGGCTAGTGTTTGTATTTATTTGATGTAATAATACCTAAAAAGTTTTAGTTTTTTCACTTGACACCCCCATAAAGTATCTTCGTCTAATATTTTTGTTGTTGTTGTTGATTGATTTAGAGAGAGAGCAAGCGACCACGAGCTGGTTGGGCAGAGAGACAGAGGGGGAGAGAAACCTGACACAGGGCTTAATCTCACAACCCGTGAAATCATGACCTGAGTCAAAATCAAGAGTCAGATGCTTAACCGAGCTACCTGGGTGCCCCTTCATTTACTACTTTATAATAAGTGCCATTTTTAAATAATGGTGCAACAATCCACTGGATGACTATACTGTAGTTTAATATGTGATTGTGTTTACCCCAGGGATTACTGGAAGGGCTTCCCAGTGCTAGTGTTGGGAGATAATAGGATTAATCCCAGCTTTTGCCATATGTAATTATATTTCCAGCAACATGATTACAGACCATGATGTTCCTCTTTTTTAAAAAAAATTTTTGTACCTAATTCTTTTTTTTTTTTTTTTTTTAAATTTTTTTTTTTTAATGTTTTATTTATTTCTAGGAGAGAGAGAGAGACAGCGTGAGCAGGGGAGGGTCAGAGAGAGAGGGAGACACAGAGACTGAAACAGGCTCCAGGCTCTGAGCTGGCAGTCAGCACAGAGCCCGACGCGGGGCTCGAACCCACGAACCGCGAGATCATGACCCAAGCGAAAGTCGGAGGCTTAGCCGACTAAGCCACCCAGGCGCCCCTGTACCTAATTCTTAAATAAAATGGAGTCCAGCTGGAATCCCCGTTGCCCTCGGAGACCCACAAAGACTACATGAACGTCTGAATGCTACTTCATTCAAAAAAAAACCAAAGAATCACTAGTTGTTACAGGCTCAGTAGAAGCTTATTAGCAATTACATGTTCCTTATGGGAAATATAGGAAAATGAATTCTTGCCTAAAACAAAAGATAATTGTTATAAAGATGAGACCTTATTCTAAAATTTTTCTGAAGTGGTTATTAGAGAACATGTTACCAAACTCACATAAACGATATTATCCATTTTAAAGACAACTGCAACTTAGATTCTTTAGGCTGTCTTGAAAGGTATAATCAGTTTGTGCTTCTGGAGATACTGCTACATGAAATATCTCTGGGGCCCAGCTGAGCCTTAAAATATATGTGCAACTAACTAATTGTAACTAACATACGCCTGTGAACTCCATGCATGTTGTAACTTGTTACTGACCGTTAACTCTAATAGGAATGCACCATAGCCAGTTACCAAACACCCAGGAGGCACAGAATGCTAAATGAGCCAGGAGTCCTCACATTTGCGTGTGGCCAGGTCACAACTGGAGACCAAGATCTTGTTCACTTTGGGGCACCACCAAAGGCCTCAGCATTCATGTCCTTGAGGAGGAATGGTTGGAAGGAGCCAAGATGTCTAGCTTGGAATAGCACAGATGTGGCAGTAAGGCCAGGGGGTCTGGGGTCAGGGATTTGAAGGGCAGGCAATCAAATGAAAGTGGGATCAGGAAAACAGGTGTGCAGAATTAGGCCCCGTGGGTGACAATCACAAGCAAAGGGACACACCATGTGGTCGAGTGTAAGGAACCTTCAACTTGAAGCATGAGCAATTAGGGGCTATCATACCACTTGCATCCATATTTCAGTTAGTCTTTCCTACAAGCTAGAAAGGGCACGTGCTATCAATAGCTCAGGAAGACTGAGGTTCAGAGTTGCTAGAGGCCCCAAGTTCAGGGCTTATCCTTTACACCATGAGATGGAGCTCTAAGATGCTCGTTCACTGCACTACGTATAAGACTACATGCAATTCCTTGAAAAATACTATTCAGATGACAGTGGAAATGTACCTCGGCTCCACTTGGGACATTAACAATCTGTCTTTATATTTATGGACTTAATCCCCTTAAATAATACAGACATTTAACTAGGTTTCAGTACTATTTCCATATATTTTATGATAAAAGCCCCACAAAATATATCCACTGAATGAGGCCAGTAGCATTTTCATTTTAGATATGAACAAGTGGGAGCCAGAATGGTAGAGAGAACTGAACATTGCTGAGAGAGAAGGGCTAGGATTCAAATCCTGACTCTACCGATGTGGAATCCTGGATAAGTTATTAAACCTTAGTTTTACCATCTGCAAAATAAGGTACCTCAAAGGACTAAGGATTAAATGAGAGAATGAGGCATAGCATCCACTATGGAGCAAGCACTCAAGAAACGTTCGTTCTCAATCAAGCCTTGTTCTGTGGCTTAACGTTTAGATCCCAAGCTTCTCTATTTATTATTTTAGTGAGGACATCTCACCTTTCCTAGAAAAATTATGAAGTCTCCAAAGCAGTTAACAGATGTGAAATGACTTGAATTCTTGGATAAGAGTTTGAGCGCATCTTCTGCTGACGTGCAAAAATCTGTCCCATTAATGGCAGTTGCAGTGTATGCGTTCTGAAACAAAGACAATGGTGAAAAAGATGATGTTTTCTTATATTGTTTGAGAGACAATATCATGGCAATACAGAATATTAGCAAAATAGAGGAAAATGGTTGCTATAAACCCACCATCTCTACCCATAATAAATCATTTCATTTTCAAAGTCCCCTTCTGGTCTCTGATTATATTCACATGTATTTTCACATAGTTACAGTAAATGGAAAAACAAGTATTTCTGGTCAATATAGTGGGTGGGACATCCCTGTACAAACCTGGAAATGATGGGTAAAGCAGAAACTTTTTAATGAACAGCAGAGTTAGAGGGCAGAGAAGGAAGCTGAAGTGCTGGAAACAAAGCAGATCCTAGCAATTAATGAGAACCGAACCCACAGGCTCAAAGGGCAGGAAAGCAGTAAAGGCTTTAGAGGTTGGGGCTGGAGACTTAGCCACTTAGGGGTAAAATATTCAGGCCCTTGCTAGGGAACTGAACTCTCAGCATATATTCAGACTCACCCAACTATCCCAGGAAAGTGCTACAGAAATACACTATCTGCCTGGGGCCATTGAAATTACCAGAGTCTAGGCAGGGGCGAAACAAAACCACACCTTCACAGGCCAGGAAATGATGGAGTCCCACAGGCAACCACCCTTGAAGACAATGAAGTAACGCTCATAGAAAAATTTTTCAGGTGACCCAAGGAATAGAACACCACAACAAACAAGAGAATCTGTACCCTGAAAAAAATCTGAAAGTATTCAAGGAAGTGTGTTTAAGACGCTAAGACAATGGGAGTGGGGGCACCTCGCTGGCCCAGTTGGTAGAGCAGGAGAGCATGCGACCCTTGATCTCAGAGTTGTACATTTAAGCCCCACATTTGGTATAGAGATTACCTTAAAAATACTTTTTTCATTTTTTAATGTTGATTTTGAGAGAGAGAGAGAGAGAGAGAAAGACACTGAGTGTGAGTAGGGGAAAGGCAGAGAGAGAGAGGGGGACACCGAATCTGAAGCAGGCTCCAGGCTCTGAGCTGTCAGCACAGAGCCCAATACAGGGCTTGAACTCACGAACCGTGAGATCATGACCTGAGCCAGAGTCAGACGCTTAACTGACTGAGCCACCCAGGTGCCTCTACTTTAAAAATAAAATCTTTAAAATAAATAAATAAAGGTGCTAAGACAATGGAAAGAATAGTGACCATGAGGAATGAACAGCTTGGTATGAAAAGTGAAGAGTCAGACTCAAAAGCAAACCAAATGAAACAAAGGAAACAAACCCTAGAAATGAAAAAATATATAATTTAAGTGGCACAGTATCATTTTACATATCTAGCTTTTTTTTCTTTATATAATAAGCATTTCATGTTGCTCCATGGCTTTGATAATTTTTTTTTTTTAATTTCTAAGAGAGAGAGAGAGAGAGAGAGACAGCGTGAGCAGGGGAGGGTCAGAGAGAGAGGGAGTTACAGAATCAGAAGCAGGCTCCAGGCTCTGAGCTGTCAGCACAAAGCCCGATGTGGGGCTCGAACCCACGAACCGTGAGATCATGCCTGAGCCGAAGTCAGACGCTTAACCGACTGAGCCACCCAGGTGCCTTATAATTTTAATTTTTAATAAGTACACATTCTATCAGGGATGCGTGTGTATGTGTAGCCAGGGCATACTTAGACTATTTCAAGTATTTTGCTATTACAAAAACTATGCAATGGACATCTTAATTTCTGGATTTGGGATAATTTCTTCTTCTTTTTTTTTAATGCTTACATATTTTCGAGAGAGGGACAGAGTGAGCAGGGGAGGGGCAGAGCGAGAGGGAGACAGAATCTGAAGCAGGCTCCAGGCTCTGAGCTGTCAGCACAGAGCCCGACACGGGGCTTGAACTAACAAACTGTGAGATCATTACCTGAGCTCAGCTGAGTTGGATGCTTAACCGACTGAGCCACCCGAGCGCCCAATGAACTTTTATTTCATAAGGATAAATTTCAAAAATGAGATTTCTAAGTCAAAAAGGACAAACAAGCATATGTGTTTGTGGTGTTTATGTTCACAAGGGAAGATTTCCTGGATCATTTTTCCAAAATATCTTATGACCATATGATAAGTTCAAAAGCATCTATTTCTTATATTTCCCTTGAAACCTTTAAAAACACTATTTGCACTGCAGTTTACAACTCAGAATTTATAACCTCCCTGGAAAAATACACTGTAATACTACCTGCTTGGGTTTTGTCATTTCTTTCAGCTTAGGAAGAAGATGAAAGCTTTTTATCTCTTGATATACAAATTAATCCCTTCCTACGCCCATTCAAACACATTGCAGGGAAACCAGTTTGGAGTCTGCTGCAGTAACCCATCTTCCAGTGATACAGCTCTTCATCAAAGTAAGTGATAGTGGAGATGGAGAAAGAATAAGGGGGTAGAATTTACCAAACTGCCTCTTCACCAAGGCCAACTAGAGATCAAAGTCTGATTTTCAGAGACAAAAGGCTGGGTACCCACTCCCCCGCAAGAGTACCCTGCTTGCATCAGAAGGGATATTCTCAGTCAGATGTCAGATGAATTCCCTGTAGAAATGCCTTAATGGTGTTCCACAAAGAACTTTTGGTTTCTGACTTAGATGGAACGTAAGATTTGCTTTTAAAATCCCAAACTGGTTGTTGCACAAAACTGACCTCAGGGGCGCCTGTGTGGCTCAGTTGGTTGTGTCTGACTCTTGACTTTGGCTCAGATCAGGATCTCGCGGTTTGTGGTATCAAGCCCCATGTGGGGCTCTGTGCTGACAGTGTGGAGCCTGCTAGGGATTCTCTCTCCCCATTTCTGCCCCTCCTCCACTTGTACCCTAACACACATGCATGCATGGGCATGCCCTCCCTCTTTCTCTCTCAAAAATAGACATTAAAAAAATTAAAAAAAAAAAAAAAACAGAACTAAAGCTGGCCCCAGTTTGGGGACTTAAGTCTTGGCTAAGGAAGTGGAAACTCATTTGCTCTTGACGTAGCTAAGCATCTTCAATCATCTAAGGTTCTATGAGCCCTGATGACCAACTCATTATCCTGAAAATACTTTTGTAGGGTGGGTGGATAAGAATAACTTAACTGTTCTTTTAGAGACTGGCAACCAAGATCAAGGGCATTTCTCCAGATCCCCGGGTAAATGAGAGTCTTTTTTTTTTTAATGCTCACTTTCTGGACATTATACGATCAGTTTTCATTAGGACAAAGTGCTATTTAAAAGCTTGGTGATGTGCTTGCTTCGGCAGCACATATACTAAAAGCTTGGTGATTAAGGCAAGCAAGGCTCTGTAGCCAGACAGTCTCTGGGTTCAAATCCCAGTTCTGCCACCCACTGGCTGTCAATCTTGGGCAAGTGATTTAACCTCTCTCCGACTTTAATTTCCTCATCTATAAACTGAATTATAACACCTACTGCAAGGGGGTGTTGGGAGGATTAAAGAACATATTCCCTATAAAGCAGTTAGCAAAGCGCCTCGCTCACAGAAAGCATAGTAAAGGAAAACGATTATCATCCAGACCTCGCCAAGGATGACCTCATTTACAACTGGGAAACACAGGCCGCTCTTTGAGCCCCGAGGAGGTGTGGAAAGGACCCAGGGTTTCCTTATCCCTGGGCTTTGATCCCTCACATTCTTGGGGATCCAGGGCCCAGCAGGGTCCTTCTTTGCGGTCAGGCTCTGTCCCCAGCCCACCACCCTACCACAGCCTGCCTTTAAACTGGGGTTCTCCGTGGACGTCCTGATTTACACTGGGGACTGCAGTTTCCGTGGGGCCTTCCTTTTCCTTCAGGTCACCACCCCGTGGTCAGTTCAGCACTAGTGTTCATAAGCAATAAAAATAGATTTTGCTTCTTGGCTAAAACGATTCAAGGTTAAAACGGTAATTTCTCGCACATGTGTTGACTCTGCAGATTTCGGGGGACCCATAACCATTGGTCTTCTCTTTCATGTTTCATGCCCTCTGGAAGAGAGCATTAAAACTGCTCTGATGGGGAAATTGGAGATGCCTTCCTGCAGTTGCTACACCACTAGTATTTTACCACAAGGTTCAACCCTGAGCGCAACAGAGAGACCTAGAATTAATGTCTGAATGAGTAGCTGGAGGAGGGAATCGTCACTCAAGACACAGGAGATGGACTGAAAATTCCTGCAGCTTCAGCATTAGCTAATTTATATTTACTCTCAGTAGATGCTGCTTCCTTGTCGGGCAGCTGGGAGGTGGACTGCCCTGAATGTTCGATGTGGTGAGTCCCCACTCGGAGCATCTGCGTTTGCCTGGGCTGATGGAAGTTTGGGTGAGCGTGCTAAGCCAATCTGCAGAGCGTAACAATGTGCAGAAAGGACCAGATTGGGTGAACAGGTTTTGTTGGTTGTGAACATTAATCAGGAGGTCCTGAAGGCTAATCTCGAAGCAAGACATGAGGTAGTGGTTTCAGGCTCCTAATTTGTTACCAGGTGACATTCAGTTGTGCACGTTTCTTTAGGGCCACCAAACAAGTGGATACTTCTGCATCTTGAAGTCAAACAGAAAAGAAAGATTCCCAACTCGACGATGGGAGCGCCTCGATATTACATCACTATTCTCACTCCCTCGCCTGGGATTAGAGACTCCCTCCAGGTGTGGTTTGATTCGTTTTCAAACTTCCACGGACTGTCACAGGCAGGAGGGGAGGGTGCGGGGAAGGACACAGACAAGGAAGGCCCTGCGTGGCGGTGAGGACTGATGAACGCTGAATTCTAACTCAAGCACAAATGTGAAAGCGACATGGAGAAGCATAGGCTGGGGGGGAGGGGGAGGAAGGAGCAGGCGGGAGGGGAGCGGTGGCGAAGATTTCACAGAAGTGGCACATAGCTGATCCCTGAGGTTGGCTGTTCCCTGCAGGATACTGGGATAGGCGGAGGCCGAGGCGGCAGCAGGAGGCAGTGAAGGAGACCAAAGGGCCCAGAAGAGATTGTGGTGGGAAGTGGGTCTGGAGGAGTCCTGAGCTGGACCTCAGTAGGGCT